TTCTTTTCCAATTCCTTTAACTGTCTGGCTCGGCTGCCCAGTTTGCAAAGGCCTCTTGTGCTCTTTACTGTGCTTTTCTCACACCCTTCTGAAAGCCACAGGGTCAAAACAATGCTTCTAATCTCATTTGAAATCCCTTGTGTACTTTGTTTTTGTGCCAGTTTTTTTGACAGATTTTTTTCTTGTAAGTGGGGGTTGCAGTTTCTTCTCAGGGGTTGAAATTCTGGTTTCATAGAAATCAATATAAAGCTTTAGTCAGACCAGGATTATGTCGAGAATCCTGAAAGAAGAAACATTTTTATTGCTTCTTGTTCCCACATTTTTAGAGTTTTAGTAGACTGTATAAAATTTTGAGAAATAGGAAAAACATTCTAGGTAAGAGTACAGATAAGAGGAAAATTTCTTTTAGCCTGTTTCAGAAGCATGGGTTTGAAATTTTTTTTCAAATGTGCTGAACCACAGTGGATTTTTTCCTTAGTTTTAAATAGTACATTTGTTTTTTCTGCCATTCTGCCATCCTTATTTATACTGAGTGTGTTCCAAACCCCTCTGAAGTTAGTGGAAAACACTCTCACTGAGCTCAGTGAACTCACCTCAGAGTTTCCCGTCCACCTGAAGTCAGAGGGAAATTAAAAAGGCTGCCTGGGGCATAGGAGACTGAGGGTTTCAGGAGAGAGGGAAGTCTGCCCTTATTCTGTGCTCTTTTCCTCGTTTGAGGGATGCTGCTTTGTAAGGATGTAACAGGGCTCTGCTTGTGCTCCAGTACCTCCATCACCCCTCAGCCTTACATTTTGCACTCATGGCAGATATTAAATCCATGTTCTTCTGATTCTTGTAAAATAGCTAAATTTTTACTCTTTTGGGCTTCAGTCTCCTTTTGCTAAATTTTAAAGTATTTTGCTTAAAAAAGAAATCCATCTGGAATAGGTAGATTATAGTCATGTTTACACCTCCCCTCTGAACCATGCAGGAAAACAATTAAGAGGTGATGCTTTGAGTGCAGGCAGAGGTATGAAATGGTGATGGGGAACCAGCTGTCTATTTCTTTCTATATACCATGGAATTCTTATTTTGGACACTTGGCAAAAATTGTATAGTGGAAAAGTAAGCATCATCATTGTGACGTCTCTAAACATGGACAAGAAGAGGTGAGAAATTAAAAATTAAAAAATACCCAAACAAACAAAAAAAAAGCAGCAGCAGCACTTTGACAGGATCATTCTTTTGTAACAGGAAACTCATTCCTAACTGGAGCTGTGCATGAGACACCAGGCACTCCAAGCTGAATTTGTTGCACTAACTGTGCCCTGGGGGGTTGCTGACCAGCGAGGAGGATCAGCAGAAGAAACAATAAAGCATTTTTATTAGCCTTGAAGTCAGACCAGTGGGAATTTTCCAGAGAAGGGCCTACCCCAGTTCTCTTTCATGAACTAACTTCCTCCAAACTATTTGATAACAAGGGAAAAGAAAACAATCAGGAGGAGGGGGCGGGGGGCAGAAACCCCTACTGCTTGTTAATTACATGGGTGTCCTGGAGCTGTCAGGATGTGGTAGCTCCACAGCACTCCTGTCAGCCACTGGCTGCAAGTGGTTGTGGCTGTCTTGTCTCCATGTCAGGAAGCTGCACTGTTCTTTGGACCGGAATTTTGTCAATGTATTTTGCCAGTGACTTGCTGTGGGATGTTTTGGTTTGGAAGGGATCTTAAACACCCCCGTGTTCCACCTTCACCTTCCACCAGAGCAGGCTGCTGAAGGCTTCATCCAGTTGGGACTGGAACACCCCCAGGGATGTTTCACTTCCATCCACAGCTTCTCTGGGCTGTTCCAGTGTCTCACCACCCTCACAGCACAGAATTTCCTCCTAGTACCTGACTTAACCCTGCCTCTGCCAGTTTAAAGCCATTCCCCCCTGCCCTGCCACCTCATCGTGATGATCATTGCTGCCAAATGTCTCAGAGAGAACAAAGGCACTGTACAAATGTGCACTGAGAGACAGATTTCAACAGAGGAAACACTTTGAGTTATTGCTTGTGTCTGATATTCTCACTGGTAGGGCTGTATCTGCTGCTGTCAGGTCAAAGTGGTTTTGTTTCTCTGGCTGCAGCAGCATCCCAGTCACCCCAGGTGAGGGATGATGGCCCTTTGCTCAGTTTGCTGCCCTCTGGTTCAAGCTCTGAGTATTTTAATCTGACAGAAATAAAGATCAGGGATCTCCAAGAGTGGTTCTGGCTGCTAGAAAAAAGCACTTCTAGAAACTTCTTTAAGTTAGGCTTTCCCTCTTGTGTCTTACTCTGGTCTGCTGTAAAAGATAAAAGCCTAAACCCTTGATTTCAATGGGAAATAGATGCATAAATACCTTCAAAGATGTGACTTCAATGGGAAATAGATACATAAGTACCTTTAAAGATTTGATTTAGTGATGGATCCATTATGCACTGAAATAACAGCATGCTCTGAATTGATTCTGCTGAGCATTCTCAGATCCTTCTAAACTAACGCTGCAGCCAAAGCTTTAGGCAATGCAGAAATGTGATTCTAAACCAGGGTTCTTAAGGTCACCTGGTTTTTAGGATTGTCTTTCAGTGAAGGTGAAAGACACTTTTTTTTTTTTTTTTTTTTTTTTTTAACCAAAGACAAATACTTAAAAGTAGCATCAGTGGTTCAACAAAACGTTTACTGCAACTGCTGACTTGAATTTTGGGAGGTTTTCTTGCATATCAAAGCCAAGAGACTTAGCTTATGGGTACCTCTGTATAATTTCTTGACATTTGGTTTTGATGACCAGAACAGTAAAGTTAATCTAACTGTGCACTATTCTCTCTTCAGTGTCTTTGCATGCCTAAAATAACCAAAAATTATTTCTGACTAAATATGCTAGTAAAAAACTGGACATACCATAGCTGATGAAATGAGGACAGGTTGGGCCAACTTTTTTTTTCTCTCCTTATAATTGCCAGTTATTGACTTCCTTTTTGTCAAGGTCACCAAAAAGCTATGGAAAACTTTATCCCAGAGTATTGGGTTTACTGGCATTTCTTGAAGAAAAAGCGTAAAATACGTGAAGAACTTGCAGAGTCTCTGCCCTCAAGTCTCTTTACAAGAAACTATTTTTGTGATTAGATGCTGGACCAAGCTGCTCTGCAATCTTTCCACTGCTATTAACTGTAAATAACTTCCAGCCTTGCATTAACCCCTTCAGCTCCTGACAAGTAAAGCTGTTCTGTATCTGCCAGGCCTAATGAGAGAAACAGATGAGCTGGGAATTTGAAACTGGGTCTAAGGCAGAGCTGTCTTTTGTTGGGACTGTGTTTATGAACTCTTCTGTAACTTTCTCATTCCTGACTCCCCTTAGAGAGTGCAAATATTTTTATCGGGTAGAACGTTTTTGGGAAATACATCCATGTCTTGGCTGGATTTTGATCTTGTGCCTGCTGAAGCAAATGACAACGTTCTTGCTGGCCTTTGGGAAATGGTTGTGTGCTCTGCAGGCATTGACCTGAAAAGACTTCAGGGTCTCTCTGACAGGCCCAAGCTGGAAATGTAGCTCTAAATTCGGTTCCTAATTCTGTGTAGTTGTCCAAAGGCAGCAGGACCTCAGATACAAGTGGAGCCTGTAAACGCTAAAATAAAAAAATGCTGATAGGAATAAAAATATGAACACATGTTGAGTTAAGGAGGAAGGCAGCTCTTTTTGAGCAAGTCTTGAGAGACAAATTCTCAAGCCCTGTGCATTCCCTTCTGGAATGTCCATATAATGCCAAGATCATGTCTCAGTCCTGACTCCTAAACATTCTGCCATGGCTTGGTTACAGAGTGCAGCCTGGCTGAGAATTTTCAGATGCCTTTGTGGGCACTAAAGACAATGGAAACACAGGGAAAAAGTCCATGCTTCAAAGCTGGCGATGATTTAGACTCTAAACATTCCAAGATTAAAGATGCTGTAATACTATGTGTACCTGTCCCCTGCAGCTGAGCTGGGCTGTGTTTTACATGCTCCAGTCACACACACAAAGCTGAAGAGTGACCCTGTCATGGCTTTAGGGATGCAGGCTTCCCTGTGCAGGGCAGGTTTCCACCTCTTCCTCTTTATCCACAACAGTGTTTTATGATGTCACCTATGAGACATAGAGATTTCTTTTCACATTAAGAACTCTCATCAGAGAAATACAGCATGAAGTGGATTAACTGAAGATCAATCTTATGCCACATATTATGGATGAGGAAAGTTTTATACCCACTCTCACTTTACCACAAAAGAGGGGAAAGACCATTAAAAAAATTCTTGTACTAAAAACATTCCCAGGCACTCCTGGTTTTTTATTTTCTTTTTTAATGGGAATTATGCCACAGAGGCACTGCCTAATAAAGTTCATTAGGTTTTAAAAATATGTTTCAGCCTCATGGTCAGACAAAATTAAAAATTGGCAGGAGGTCACGTGGGAAAACTCTGGCAGAGCTGAAAAGTGGTTCCAGTTTCCCCATGGTCCTTGGAGAAGGATTCTGGCTTTTCTGTTTCCTTCTGGGTGTTGGACAAAGTTCTCCAATCCAGCATCCACCAGCAGAATGTTACCACTGGCTTGAATGAAAATTAGGTCATGCATCAAAATGATGAGCAGATGTGTTATCACAAATTATCCAAACTGTGCCCAACTGCCCTGGCTGGAATGCTGGTCCTTACAGTTTTCCATAGGACTTTTTATTCTCATTCAGGCCATGAGCATCTGCAGTGAGTGTTCTTCTGGATTTTGCAACCAAGGAGCAGCCTTGGCTTCGTGGTTTTCCTTTTCAAAACCAAACCTGTCAGCTTTCTGTCTCGGCCACGAGGAGAGAGCAGAGGCCTCTCGAGGCTGTCCTCCATGTCTCTGCCAGTTACTCTCCTTCCACGGTGTTCCTACCCTCAAAAATAATCATGATGTCCAAAATAGCTTGTCTTCATCAAAAGTTGTGATCAAAAAGAAGTATTACTAAATCTGTATTTTTACTGCTTGATTTTTTTTCAGGACTCCACTCCATGGGCTTCAAATTTCTGCCTGGGAAGCTGCTGTGGTTGGAGCTGCAATAGGCTGATGGGTAAATCTTCTGTCCCATCCTCTCTGCTTAATCTGGGATTCTCAAAGATATTCACATGTCAGAGAAGGTAAGGGCAAAGCTTTTTCCATTTTTCTATTTTGTGGTTTCATCCCAGAGCTTGCTTGTGCTGCTTATAAGGATGAGCCTGTAGGGTTTTGGGACCCAATCAGACTGGGGGTTCTGAAATGGAAATTGTTGCTTGTGCTGAGCCCCACGCAGCAGAGCAGATCCCATTACAGGCTTGGGGCTGGGTCACAGGGGAAACAGCAGGTGCCTGAAGTGTGCATAAAGAGGAGGGGAGATCAAAGGAGAAGAACTGGGCAAGGTTTAGGTTGGGCAGAGCAGGGGAGGCTGAGCCTGGCTATGTAGTCCAATGCAAATATGATGTTTTGCCTTTCTGTCTTCTGTGGAGGCATAAAAAGGAATAAACAGTGAAAAAACCAAAAACCATTAAAAGTGTGGTGATGGTGGTTTTCAGATTGAAACCTCCAAGGTTACATTATTGGTGCAGAAACCTTGGCTACTTATGGAGCCCAGAACTGTTGCAATTTTGCCTCTCATAATAAGCGAGGCATCTGTGTATCCAAATGAAGTGTCTAGGAGAAAATCTTTTCCAGATTAAGCTAGAAAACTAACATTTGGTGCTGCACAGATACACTTCTCTGCTATGGTTTCTTCCTGATGGGCTTGCAAATCTCCCCTCAATTGTTAATTCACCCTTTCCATTTAAAATTTGGAAGGTTTTATTTTACCATTTTGTCTATGTGTGCATGTCAGGGTGAAAAAGGGGGAAGGAGGAAGCAAGGGATGGAGATGGGCTCTTGTGTCTTGCTTTAAGGTCATGTGTTAAACATAATCCCTTCAAGTTCATCTGTAGAAACTGTGTCAGCATCCGCAGGGGCTGCTGTGTCTGAACAAGACTGCTCAATTTGTTTTTGATTAAGCATAATTATTTATTGTGAGACATGCAGTACAGGTAATGCCATCTGAGTCCTGGCAGGGAAGGTGTGTGCTATGATTTGGGTCTGTTGTTTCCCTCTGTCTTGGTTTAAAGTTGTCTCCATCACCCAATTTTTCTGACAAACAAAATAAAGGTTGTATTTTTGGGGTGCAACTTAAAAAGCATTATTTACCCTGATCCAAAGAACAGCAAAAAGAGCAACCTTGAAAGGTTTCTATAATGGAAATGAAACAATCAACACAGAAATATGAGGAAGAAATTACACCCATTAAATACATCTAGACTGATGAATGATATGATGGCTGCCTATTCAAGTTGGAAATTTTACACATGATTGAAGCTTTATTTAGTCTAATGAAATGTGCTTCCTGAATGCTGCATCTGAGTGACGGCGTGACCTAGAGCACAAAAGAAAGTATTATGTGATTAGACTGAGATCATTCTCATTTAAAGTCATTGTGATATAATTTTACGTTTTTAATTAGCAGCATATACTTTTGTGTCCATTGCCTCTCTTATTGCAAATACCTTTTCAGGTCTTGTCCTTCCACAGGCTTGTTTGAAGCTCAGCACAGATTAACAGCAAAGGAGTTTGGAGTTCATTGATCTTTTTTTTTTTTTTTAATCCCCCATGAAGTGGTGAATGGTGGGAGGGGAGGAAGCTGATCTTTCAGAATAGGCTCATCTTGTGCTGAATTTTTCCTGAGTTCCATAGGACACTCTTTACATTTTAGTTTGAAATCCAGCTTAAATACCTTGTTTGGGCCTTGAAAATATTGATAGTGACATCCTTTAAATCAGTGAAATTAGAGTTATTGGTGGAGCAACTGATTCTAGAGATATTCCCCTCAACATCTTGGCTCTGGCAGCTGGGATTTCATGAGGGCTGTGGCATTATACTGATTTACATCCCTGTGAGTTTGGACCTACGTCCTCTACACCACACATTTCTTACCCCAGCTCACCTTTATGAGCTGGGCCTTTACTTTGAAGCTGTTTTGTGTACCAGGCTGGAAGGCAACTCCTCACACAGAAATCCAGTGTTTGGATTAAAAGCTATTAAATCACGTTTGACTCAAGCAAAATTTAACGTGGTTCATAATACAATTTTATGAGCTATTGAGATTTCTGGCACCATAAAATGAGTTTGTTAATGGCTTTCAGCAGTTGTTACTTAAAGTGATGTTAAAAAGTAATGAAGGGGGAAAGTGAATGTGAGGGGTGAAGCTGCTTCTCCAGCCTGCAGTTCTTTCCCTTCCCGGAGCATTAGCGGGGTAAGCAGGCATTAAACAGGGTCAGTGTGCTGCCTTTGTGTGAAAGAGCTCACTGCAGACCCCATATTTTCAGATGAATATGAACTTGCTGACCACAATCCTGACTTTCAGCTTGTTAGTGAGGTTGACGGATGAACACCCAGGACCAGACAGATAAGCCAGGCACTTAATCTACCTACTGTATGTGTTCAGTCAGACTGAAGCTTTATCAATCATTTCAAACTGCATTTCTAGGGCATATTGTATAGCTTCCCATTACCATAAATCACTGAATTTGGAGCCAGTAGCAATTTAACCATCTCATTCATGAGGCATCTGAAGGTGTCCACGTACCTGTAAGTACCTTAATTTGTGCCTGTATGGAAGATTCATAATTCCCTAGCACATTTTCTCGTTTTATTGCAGCCTGTAGTTGAAATTTGGGAGGGCAAAAGAAAAAAGTCAGGAACAGCCATTCAATAACAGTTTTTAAAATATTTCAATTTGAAATTCAGGATAATTTTCTTAGATCACTTCTTAGCTCACTGCATAGATGTCTTCTTGATCTGGCTTGTATTTCCTGCTACAATGAAAAGGATAAAGGTAAAAAAGGGTATTATAAATGCGTGTGCCAAATAATATCTAATATTATATCTATATATATAGAATAATATCTAATACTGAGAGAAAAAAATTATCTTTTCCTAAAGGAGACTTCCCCATTTTTTGCCTGTCATATTATTCTTTAAATTCTGTTTTTACACATACCATTGCATAGGCTAAAAGTGTATTTCATGAAAGTAAGGCAGCATTTCACAGGTAGGGAGGGCCAATTTTTTGTTCTACTTATAGACTTTAGGCTTCAGATGTGCTCAGACATTTTTTGTTCTGTTTCGGTTGTCGTCTGGCTTAAAATTCAAGACATGAGGTCCAACATTCCAAAATCTCGTGTTAACATTCCAGATCTCATGTCAGCATTCCAAATCTCATGTTAGCACTCTGGATTGTGGCAAACTCTGGTGCTTCCAACCACGAGAGATTTGACTCCTTTTGGAGCCCTGCTAAGATGGTCACAACTGCAGGCATGCACAACTGTCCAGCCACTGGTTCTGAGGAATAAATTAAATATCATGGTCTAACTTTTAGAAGCCTTCACATTTATGTCATCAGAATTTAGTTTTCATTGGGTTTAGCTATTTTTGTACCTTTTTGCGCCTTGGTGGCTGCGGTAAGTGCACATTGGTGTGGAATGTGAGAAGCTGGTGCAGCCCATTTGAAGTCATGTGACAATTGCTTAAGTTACAGCTTATCAAACCCAAGTTTTTTTCATTGTTTTCCCATCAAACTACATTTTGTGGTCTATTAAGCATTCACTGATAACCGGTGAAGTCTGAGTGCATTGTCTGTCGTATATGGCTGGTCTAATTTGGGCCAGGCTTTGTGCATTATAAACCTGTCAACAGATCCTGTTTTCAGCCGCGGTGCAGCACCGAAGGGCAGCTGAGGAGGAGACATGATAAAGTCCTTGGGACAAATTACACATCACAAATTAATTATATGTAATGCTTGGCATAACAGACATGAATTTTGGGCACGACCATAGTACTTGTTTTCACTGCCAACAATTATCTGCTTTAAGTCATGTCTTGGATGAGGAGTGGATCTTGCGGTGTTACGGTAAACGCGCTGAATGTGAGCGAGCAGGCACCTGAGGGTTTCAGCTCTGCGTCAGCAGATTGAGCACTTGCCTGTGGATATACTTCAGGTGCGTTCAGAGAAATCTGGTTTCCCATGCTAACGGCAGGAACAAGGGGAGCTGTTTCCGTGGGTTTCCGTGAGCTTTTGGACTGAGGCCCAGCGCCTGATCTCATCCTTTGCCTGGAGGAGATTTCTGAGAACACGCAGACTTGGGCATCCCAGGGACTAGCCATGCCAGAGCGGTTGTAAAGGGCCTCAGCCAGGCCCTTTATTTACAACTTAAATGACTTCCCCAGCGTGTGCTGGGGAGCTTTAGGCAGCTCGTGGTTTGTTTCACCTACTTAACGTCAGACTGACAGGAGTCGAGTCCCCGTCTTTGACAGACAAGAGATCAGCTGGTTACAAATGTTGATCAGCTGGATAAAAGCAGAGGGTGAGACTACGCTAGGATTGAAGTTTGGGGTTTGTGGACTGTGGGAAAATTAGTTTTACAGACTTTTGGGTCTCCTCTGCTGAAATGCAACTCCTGATCACTGTAATTTTGGATGATGCTTAAATGGTTTCTCGGACTATGCAAACCACAGGCTGTCCCGAGCTTTGCCAAAGAGTGAAGAGTGGCTGAGAGGCTGTGCTTCTGCCCAGCATGTTTCTGAGATTTGTCAGTTCTGTCACACTCCTCAGACCTGTGGAAATGAAGGGAAAGGGGTTTCCAGAGATATTCTGTTCATAATTATGAAGAAACTCACAGCCACACCACATAAAAACCTTCTAATGGTTCTTGCACTGGCACATGAATGGTGGTGTGGAGGATGTAGTTTAAAAATACAACACAGACTTTTTTTCTTATAAAACATTTCAGGAAATCCTGCATTTTAGTGGGAATCTCTCACCTCTTAAGAATGCTGCGTTTGAAGAATTTATAATGCTCTATTATCTCTGGGCCTAATTTGCAATATATTTATGTAAAGTGAAATTCAGTCTGCAAAGATACTTCTTTCTGAGCGTTCTTATTGCATAGCTATGTAAATGTTCTTATGCAAGTAGAGACAATAATTACGGCTTAAGGCTATATATATATTACAAGCAGGGAATTCCTCATACATTTAAATACATATTTTAGAAGCAAATCTGGATCTGGTTTCAAAATCCAGAGTG